GGTTTCATCAGGATTCGTGCGAAAACATTTCACACATGACCGTGTTACTTGTCGCACAGTAGACTTTGCGTTCAGAAGCCAGTACCTCTGCCGAATGATGTTGATCAAACTGGCTTGACCGATGTGAAGATGCTCTAAATGCAATGCACTAATCAACTTTCTCGTTACAGGATCCTTGTCGGGAAGAATGAGTTGATGCTTCGCTGCAAACGGCAGTTTCGAGCGATCCAATCGCCCTCCGACTCGCAGCAAGCCGTTTTCATACACCGGGCGCAGGTTGCCCAGACGTTTGCATGGTTGATTGGAGACCAGTCGTTGAATTTCATCACCAAGGTGTACTTGTTGAATCACCTTGACGATTGCTTCCGATGCTTGACGTAGCTCTACGACAGTGAGATGGGCTTGCTTCACACGATCGGGTGACCGTGGCCTTCGGCAGTTGCTGACGAACCTCAACACGTAGCCCATGATGCGTTGAATTTTTCGAAAAGAGCTGTGTTTGAAGAAGAACAGAAAAGGCTCACAACTTACCGCAGGAGTTGCAACTTGGACCTTCAGTTCGGGAAGGTTGTTGTCGGGAATCTCTTCGGTGTCTTCACCGTCGTATTCGGATGCGGACAGGAACTTCGGACCATTCCACCAGAGACTGTTCTGTCTCAAAGCTTCCGGCAGCTGGCCTCGAGAGACGATATCGGCGGGATTGCTAGCCGAACGAACATAATTCCATCGACACTCACTGGTTTCCGTTTGTATTACAGCAATCCGATTCCTCACAAAAGTTTGAAGCTGATCCAAGGGTTTTTTGAGCCATGCTAGAACGATTGTACTGTCCGACCAAAGAACAACTTCTCGGAAAGACATCTGAAGCGCTGGAATCACTTGACCGACCAATTGCGTCAACAGAAGCGCAGCACAAAGTTCCTTTCGTGGAATGGAAAGATCGTGCAATGGAGCGACCTTTGACTTGCTGCACAGAAGACGTAAGCTTGCGGATCCATTGGCAAAAATACTCCTCAAATAGACGCACGCACCGTACGCCACATTCGATGCATCAGCGAAACCATGCAATTCGTGAGCGATAGTATCCGGGAACGTGACACACCTTGGAATGTGAATACGACCAAGCTCCGGTAGTGATGCTTGAAGAGTGGACCATTGTTCATGAGTGTCCTCGTTGATTGGATCGTCCCATCCTGCTGATGTCCTCCAAAGCTGCTGAACCAATAACTTCGCGGTGACGATCACTGGAGCGAACAATCCGAGTGGATCAAACAACTTTGCCACCTCGGAGTAAATGATGCGTTTTGTGGCTGGTTTATCGGCAGGTTGCGAAACGCTTGGTGGATTGGCAATCATGAAAATGTCGATGTTCGGATCCCAGAGCAATCCGAATACCTTGATTACTTCGTTGGGTCCATACTCGTGTAACGGAACTTTCCTTTCTCGATCTGCAGGTGGTATGTGCTCGAGAAACTCATCCGAGTTGGAGCACCATTTGTGGATATGAAATCCACCTCTGGCAAGCAGGGCTTTCAGCTGACGTTGGCATTCGATGGCATCTTCGAGGGTGTTGGCTCCAGATAGAGCATCGTCGACGTAGAAGTCTTCTATCAGGATCCGAGCACCGATGGGAAACTCAGAACCTTCTTCCTGGGCAAGCTGCACCAAACACCTCGTTGCTTGGTATGGTGCACAAGCTGTACCGTACGTAACGGTATTCAATTCAAGTACCCTCAACGGATGCGATGGATCGGATCGCCAGAAGCATCGCAGGAACCGCCTGTCCAGTAGCGCCGTGAGCACTTGACGGTACATCTTGGCTACATCGGCTGAAAAAGCATATGGGTCCTTACGGAATCGCAGCGTAATTGAGAATATTCCATTCTGCACTACTGGGCCGACTTGGAGCACCTCGTTGAGCGACAGCTTGGATGGTTCGGACTTGGCGCTAGCGTCGAATACCACTCGACACTTGGTGGTTGAGCTCGAAGGACGCAGCACCGCATGATGGGGCAGGTAGTACCTACTCAGATCCGGTGGGTCATCAGCTTCCTTGATTTCCCGGCAGTGGCCGAGATCCTCGTACTCCTTGATAAAACCGACGTATTGTTGCTTGAGTTCGGGATTGCGTTCCAAACGTTTTTCGAGCATGAAGAATCGCTTGAGCGCCAGAAAGCGGCAGTTATCCAACTGGTCCACGTTATCCTTGAATGGCAGCTTCACAACAAACCTACCGGTCAAATCACGCTCGTACGTCGATAAGAAATGGGCTTCACAGGACAGCTGTTCGGGTGAAAATGGAGAAGCGTCTGGTACTTCCTCCATCTTCCAGAATTGGTGCATCAATTCCTCGATGTAATCGATCGAAGCAGAGTTGGCGTGTTGGATAGCCGCGTTCGAAACGTACGGCTCGTTTATCACTCCGGCTACCACCCATCCAAGATGAGTGTCCCGAAGTTGCGGTAGATTTGCACCTAGGCTCAGGTGATCGGGCTTCAAAATGTCGAAGAAAAGCTCTCCCCCGATCAGCATGTCGACCTTCTCGGGGCAGAAGAAACGTGGATCGGCGAGTTGGATGCCGTCAGGGAATTTCCAGGTGCTGAAATCGATTCTGCTGTTTGGAATAGTTCCAGTTACCTTGGGTGTAACCAGACACTCGATGTTGGCTTGAAAGTCTCCGTAGCTCGATCGGAATTTTACGAACACTTTGTCACGAGCTAGGCTTCTCAAGGCGTTGATTCCAGTAATCGGGACGTTGGCTTTCATCTTAGGAGAACCGAGGCGGTTTGCCATATCCTCGGTAACGAAATTGACTTGTGACCCACTGTCGAGCAGGACTCGACATGGATGCGGTTGGTTATGCTTATCGATGGCTTGGACGACTGCAGTAAGCAGCAAAACGGTCTTCGATGTTTGGACGTGATTGCTTGAGCATGCAGTGGACACGGGTTCATCCACCACCGAAGCAGGAGGTTGAACACTAGCTGGTGGTTTGTTGATTTCACGATTCTTTGGCGAAGCGACGTTCGCTTTGACATCCTGGCTGCTGTCCCTTTCGTTGTCATCGTGTAGAAGAGTATGATGCCTTCTGTTGCATTTTCGACACGTTTTGCTGGACGTACACTGTTTGGACTGGTGTCCCTTGCGGAGGCAGTTAAAGCACAAACCTGTCGTTCGAACTTTCTCTGCCCTTTGAGTTGCTGTTAGCTGTTTGAACTCCGTGCACTGGAAGTTGAAATGTCCACTGCCACAGAATTGGCAATGACCTTGGGATGTGCTGGAACTCGTGGTGGCTGTGTTGCTCTTCAGCAACGGCATCTTGCTTGTAGTCGATATGGCTTTGGGTTTGGAGATAGTTGGTTGCGGTAGCACTCGCGATGACTCACACTGCTCTAGGACTTGACAGCTGGTCTTGATGAATGAAATCGTCAAACGTAGGGATTGGCGCTTTCAGTGGTTGTTGCTGGATGATGACTTGTGGTGCGGGAACAGAAAAAGTTGCAGGTTGCCGTGGTGTAGCGAAGTTGATCAATTCCTGAGCGCGATTTGACAACTCACTGTGACGATTCTCGAAGGAGCAGTAAATGTCATCCTGCTCATCCGATGCTTCGTCAGGAATCAAGGCCATGATCTCGCTATGGAAGTGGCTAAACTCGGTGTAGATGGCTACGAGTTTTTCCTTGGTGCACTGCAGCTGGGCCAACCTCATACTTTTCTAGTCCCTCAAGGTTAACTGGATTCGCACTAGCTTCTGCTCGATTTGTCCTCTCTGCCGGAACAGACCCTTCAATCTCCGCATCGTTTCAGAATCCATAGCCTCCTCCCAATTGAATCCGTGAAATGAACCTGATGAATTGGATCTTGAAAGGTGCCCGGTAGGCGGACCCGGCAACTCCATATGTTGCACAATTGGAAAGTCTTCTGATTGTTCCGCTTGATCCAATTGTTGTACTTGCTCCTCTTGCTGCACTTGTTTCAACGGTGAATGTTCTACCGGCATTTTTTGGTTTGTCTTCAAGGTCACTTTTCCACTTCAGTTTTTTAGTTGCCTTTTTCTTACACACGCGACGCACTGATCGTTTCGATACGGATCTGGCAACGTAGCACACGTGACGGGACTAAATGTTTCGGTATGAGTTCGGCAACGTTGCACACACGACGCAACTGTACATGACCTTGTACACGCACACACTTGTTTTCGACTCGTTCGGAATTAGCAAAATGGCGTTCACTTTTTGTCTTTTGCGACGGCGGACGATTGCGGACCGCTCACTACGCGACGCATACGAATGTGTGTACACAGCACCAGCAGCAAGAAACTCGTTTTCGTTTCGTTTCGTGTAGCAACGATGTGTTCGCTCGGGATGATTAGGCTTTTCTCCTGGCAGGAAACCTCTCGTGGACTGGGTACCGATCCTCTTCGTGGGCAGCTAAACCTTGGCTGCATTCCGATCCGGTTCGAAGGACCAAATTATGTTCCGATGCAATGAACCATAACACATGCGGGAGGGAATCGCCGTGGAAAACGATCTTGGGATGACACTGGAAGTGCCCTTGACGATTCCCTTGGATGGACGGATCTTTGGTGGTGGACTGTATTTCGGATGATCGGTTCGATGGAAAGAACACTTTTGCTACACTAACTTAAATACATTTATTGCTCTTTGCTCTAGTGTACACACTTTGAAGGTTGTATTAATACTGATTGGTTTGTGCTGTTCTCCCTCGTACGAATCTCTACCATAGTATTCAGCGTCGCTGTTCGTAGTGTTGCCGTAGAAATAGGATTGGGCGCTACCTCACTTCAGTCCTTCTGGGAACGGACGGAACAAACTATGTTTAAGTCAGCACAATGCATTGTGTCTTGAACATAATCATGCATTCTGATTTATTCGTATGTAATAATGAATTATCCAAAGTATTATTGCTTGAAAAAAATGTCCAACCCAGGAATACGTCCTTTCGAATTGTTTTAGATGTAAAAACAAACAATAATCAAATAAATTGTATCAGTGGGTTTATTTGTAACTACATCCGATTTGATTCAGTTATGTGATTTTCAAAGATTTCAGAAAACGAAGATAAAATATGTATAAGAATAATCCCATCGGAAAGTTAATTGCCGTTTCATGTTTGTATTCCTTAGGTACGAACGCATCGAATAATTAACCAGATGGAGAACCTACCGCTATCCTTTCATTTGTGAGAATAAAAAAACTAAATGCATCAATTGTTCGTTTAAACGCACACTGTATCGTTTTTTCCTGGCGACTTTTGACCACACTCTTCGTTCCATAGTTTATGATTTTTCTTGCATTGATGCCCCGATGGGAAGGCATAAGTGAAAATAAAAGCTCTTGTACATCGAAGAGAGAGAGAAACAAAATATGAGCAGCGTCGTGTAACTTACCATACCTTACGTTTTTTGAACCAATAGCTAGAAAGAATGGCACTGCCGCATCGTTCCACCTAGCTTTGATCCATCGAAAGGCTGTCAGCGTTGTTGTTGGTCAACACGGACGAATCTTTCTGCACAGACTCAAACAACGGTTGCAATTCCGAGGAGCTGCGAATCAGTGACAGAAATTCGGCCAGATGCTGGTTTTTATCTGAAAGGAAATTTTGCAGTTGGATTTCGCTCGGACATATCAAGATGATGACCGTACCTGCTTTCGGAATTTGAAGGAGAGCTGCAACAGCTCGCAATGCAGATCGTTTCAGTTCATCTTGCTTCTCGTATTCCTGTTTTACTGAGTTGGCTTTCACTTTCAATGTGCAGGTGGCGCGCAGGGGATCAACGAATTGATCGAGTTCTGGAAGAAAAGGATCACTGAACAGTAACTGACGTAGAAAGCCGTATTAGACGTGTACTTACTTTGCAGAACTGCAGAGGGACAAAGGACAGCCAACCGAGCGGTCATCAAGTAGGTCAACATTTTGATATCATAATGATCCTTCAGTCCAGCCTGTACATGTTCAAGGAACTGCATGATATCTACCCGATCTAGCCCCTGCTCCAGCAAAGTGTACATGCATTCGAATGCAGCTTTCCGGATGTCTAAGCCATCATCAACTGTGTGCTTGAATGGACCCATCTCAACCTCTCGGATCAGATCTTTCTTAACCTTTGTCTCAGAGTAAAGTTGTGGCAGCAATTCGGGTAGTAGTTCTCGCACAAGACTGGGCTTATTATGCACTGCCGAGTTAAATGCAACAAGCGCGACTCGACGGACAGCTGGTTCCGGATCTTGCAGTGCAAAAAGGAACTGCCCAATGCACTGCCTCAGTAGCGGATCAATCGATTGCGGCTGATCGGATATGGTAAACTTGATTGCCGAAACAACAGCCGTACGCATCAGATGGCTTTCGCTACGTAGTGCCAACTGCAGCTGTGGTAGCAATTCTTCTGGATTTACTAGCACCAATTTTCCCAAACACTCGGCAACTACGTTGCGAGATCCTTCCTCGGAACATTCACAGTGCTTGAACAGTTCGGCCCAGATGGACGGTACTGATGGAAGCAACTGTTCCAGGCCATGTTTGGTTGTTGAAAGCGACGAGATAACTTCCTTCAGGGAGTGCAACAACAGGTACTGTCTCTTCGGTTGTGCTTCAATTTCATTCAAAATGAACGGCAGATAATGAGTAAGATTACCAACGGCGATTGCCCCAAGCGCATGCGACGCTGCTCCCTTCACATCTTCGGACGATGCCGAGAAGCAGTTGAGAACGATTTGAGCCAGTGAGTCAATAGCGTTTAGGTTGCTGGAATGATAATAATTTGAATTGATAATTCTTAATTCTGAAGCCGTCAAATACTTACAAGTGCCTTCCAATCTCGCCGATTGTGAGTAGGTAGAACACCAAATGAGCATCGCTGCGTCTGTTTTGGATCTCCCGCAGAAATTCTCTAGCGACAGCCACTGCTTCGTTCGGCACCTGCAGAGTTAGTGCTGCAATGCACTTGGCCAGCGAATGATATGCTTGCTTGTGCAGTTGCTGCCCTTGCTGTTGATTATTCAATGGATACATGAGCATGTTTAACAAATGGCGGTAGCTAAGCCCTGGTAGATTGGCATGTACCAGAGCTTGGAAAAGGTTCAAGGTACAGTTGAGAGCTGTGCCTTGCAGCAATGGGGAACGGACTAAGGTCATCACTTCCGGTAGGATTTGCTCGTGCACTCCAATCAGAGCTTGAGGTTGATGGCGTGCCACGGAAGTCAACAGGACAAGCGAAAGCTGCGCGACATGAAGATCCGATTCGGAGAGCAATGGTGGAACTTCGGAAACTGCATTTCGCAGCAGCATATCGTCGATCAGCTGGTGATAGTGAGTGACTAACGTGTCCAGCAAGGTAAGTGAATTGAGCTTGAGTGCTCGTTGGTTCTTGCGAAGGAACGATCCGAGAACCGGAACAACCTCTGCAATAATCGGACTGAGATTTACACGCAAAGGGGAAGCAGCGATCATCGTCAAAGCTTTAACGGAGCTCAGTCGGGTTACTTCGTTGCGTAATCTTTCCATAAACAACGGCAAACAGGTGTTCAGCTCCTGTTGCAGCACATCGCCCATGTTGGCAATGATCTGACCCATACAGGCGATAGCTCGTTCTTTCACTTCCTGATCTACTTCAGGCGAACGAAGCTTCTGCAATGTGCTCGAATACAGTGGATGAACATAAGGGGTGAAATCAAAGTTAGTTTGAATGTTCAGTGGACGAATAACCTTCACCAGCTGCTGCAGAACAAGTAAAGCTTCGGTGGCAATTTTGTAGAATGGATCGAAAACAGCAGCTTCGACAAGCGGCACCAACGTCTTGATGTGCGGATGGAACACTTGTGGATTATGCCCTCCCAGCATACAGTACACGAATCCGAGTGCGTCAATTTTCATATTCGACGTAGAGTTTTTGTCATTCAGGGAATAATGGATACCACTCATCAGGTGATCAATGTGATTCGACAATGCTCCCGGCAATGCATTCAACAGTTCACGAAGCAACAGAAAACAGTCCTGTCGAGTTTTGACGGATTTCTCCCGCATCAACGGTTGTACGGCTTTCACAATCATCGGTACCTGATCCTGAAGCATACTGATGGAGCTCGGGACTTGTTCCATCGAGTCCGGGTCATGGGCCATATCATCCCCAATCGGGCGGGTAGATTTAAGTAGGGCAATGTACGCGTGGAAGATATCCGATTTGACGTTTTCTTCACGTTCTGTAAATAGCAGTGGTATTAGAATCTTACGAAATTCAGAAAACAGCATCATCACTTACCTTTGAATCGAGCGATCAACGCAGGCGACAAAGTCTTATAAAAATCTTCCAACAGTTCATGCCTGGTAGAAATAACGGACTCCAAGCACTTGGCCGCTGATCGGCGCACTTTCCAGCTCATATCGTCATCGTCGCTGTATTCTTCGCTGTCGATGTCCTCGTCGTCTTCCATATCCATCGCAACGCCACCATCTCCATCATCAGCCTCATAGTTGTAATTCGGATCGTATGTTATGTATTTCAGACACAGATCAACAATCTAAAATTAAGAAACGACATTTAACAACAGTCAACGCAATCTGCAAGAACCGAACACATACCGAAGGAATATGTGGCATAATAGCTTCCGGACAACGTTGAACGAACGCCTCACAAGCTTGCAAGCAGAATTCGCGAAGCTCGTCGTCATCCCGGTGGCTATACTGATTGAGCAAGAACATCACCCGCTCGATATGATTGCACAAACGGTGTCCAGCTTGACGGCTGAAATGAAAAAATTGACTTCCTACCTCTAAAAAATAGTGTTCTTTTTTCATACCAGATAGCAGCCAAACACTGAATGTAAGTTCGGATCATACTCTGATCCTGAGGCTTCTCCAGTCCATCCAAAAGGTGTTCGATGACCTTATTGTATGCATTATTATTGCAAGTAGTCAACAGGTGTGATAAAGCAACGATGGTACGTTTACGCACGGCCTGTCGAGCGGATGCCAGTTGTGGTACCAGTGCCTTCAGGATCAAGTCGTGGAAAGGCACCAACAGGTCACCGAATCGCGACAGCAAATCCGACAGAATATCCAGCGCCTCTAGCTGAACCGATACGTCCTCTTTCTCAATGGCGTTGCTCAACTTGCCAGTGATGCGTTGGCACACGTTCGGGACCAACGAGTTCGACGACTGTGGCAACTCCGAAATGACCGTCTTCAGACCAATACTCGAAATGTCTCGCAGTTGTTCGTTGTTCGAAACCATGTTGGCGCACAGCGAATCGACAATGGTTTCCACTTGATTTTCCTTGACTTTGTTCACCAACGGTCCAAGACTGCAGTAATGCCCCAACATTAAATAAATACAACGTGTTCAATGAATCATAAAAGCATTTACCATTTGACGGCAAGATTCTGTACTTCGCCGTTCTTGTCCTCCAGCAAACGGAGTACCATGCGGACAACTTTCTTTTCTGATTCGTCGTCTAGCTTGATGCTGTCCTTCTGGAGTTCCGTCATCAGATCATTCGTAGCCATAAAACGGAAGTCCTTATCGTTGGACGTCATCTGCAAATTTAATTGAACAAAAAAGTTCAAAGAGCCGTAACATTTTCGGATTAATATGAAATTATCTGAAATCTTGGCTGCTGATTGGTCAAGTATCTAAGGCTTAACGGTATAATGTTTAGCTTGATTGACAGAATTTGTATGAAGTTTGGCAATTTGACTAGAACGCCTCTTTTTGATATATTTGATTTGGAAGATTTTTAATTTTGTTTTTATGTTAGCTAAGTTTTCGAATAAAGTTTGTTTCCCCAAATGCGCTGCTGCTAGGAAATCATCTCATGAAGGTTTTATACGAAAATATTCATTCTGAAAAAAACTTGCAGTCAGATTAGAAATTTACTGGCTTTTTTCCGTTTTTTCCGGAATTTTGGAAATTTGCCTGGTTGTGCAATTTACATTTAAATTAAGCCAAAATACCAAATGCGATTTAGTCGAAGGGATCATTAGATTAAATTAATCATTACAAAGACAGCAGAATTTTTCCAGAACTTATAATTTGTTTCTGCGTTTGACCTTAAAAATGTGTTTTAACTACCTTGAACATTCGCTCAGAACTCTTAACAGAAATTGATTAGAATTTTTTCAAGAATTACCTTTGGAAACATTCCCTATCACAGTTATTTCAAGATTTCTCTAAAATAATTTGAAGATTATCTCTGGGAGACCCTTAATTACTTTATAACAGGTCGGAAATTCTCTGCAATTCTCTGCATTCATGGAGTTCATCCTAAGATTCTCTTCAAATGTTTAAATATTGTTCCAAGAATTCATTAAAGTTCAAGTAATTCAGAATTGTAATTGTCTTGAAATTTTACTCTTGGAATTCTTCTATAAATTCTTCAGAAAATCCACTTGGAAACCCCAATAGAATTATCTATAAATTCTTCTCGTGCTGCCTTTGAAATTCGGTTAAAACTCTTCTCAAAACTCCTTTGCAATTGTATGCTCAAAATTTGATTCCCTTGATATTTTTCGCAGATCCTGGAATCCTCTTCACAACCATCATTGAATTTTCCACAGAACTTCTTGCTGATTCCACTCTGAATTCACACAATTTACTTTGAGTTCTAGACAAAACTCTCTTACACGCTATTTCAAAACTACCCAAATTTGGGTAGAATCCACCCAGATGTCAAAACTGAACCTACCCAAAAATGGGTAAACTGTGTTGGGAGTGACAACTTGACAAATGAACAACGTCGATCGGATTCATATCAATGTTGTTCATTTGTCAACTTGTCACTCCCAACACAGTTTACCCATTTTTGGGTAGGTTCAGTTTTGACAGATCTGGGTGGATTCTACCCAAATTTGGGTAGTTTTGAAATAGCGTGTAGAGTTCTCTTCAAAACTCCGTTGGAAATTTACTCTGAACTACCTTGGTACTATCCATTAAATTTATTCTGAAATTTTCTCAAAATTCCTTTGCAATTTTCATCATGATTTATCCTGACTATCTCAGAACAAGTGTCTTCAATTTCAAGGTCTAGATTTAATTTTTTGCTGAAGAGAAGATGAAGTATATTTTTGCCGATTTGACATCGAAATTCATGGGCTTTCCTGTTGATTTTCCGGTGATTTTCTAGTTCTCTCCTAGCTGATGTTCATGCTATTTGTTTTTGCGTGTAGCATTGGCGCAACGGATTTGCGAGGGAACACAACACCAGCACGAGATTTCAGTCGACAGGAAAAATATCCACTAAAGATCACGCTGGAGGATGGAGCAGTCGAGGACCAAAAAATCGCATAATTCCTCGGAAGGCATGGTGACGTCATTTCAGTACGAGAGCAACGATGTGAAGCGCCAATATCGATTACCCTGGCATCTCAACAGGTGTTTGCATAGCAAAAAATTGATGTTGAGATGCACTTCCACAGTTATTGATTTGGAGCTATCAATGCCTGTAAGGTCTGGATCCACAATAATCCGGACACATCAAAACTTAAGTAAAACACAAATTTCGCATTATATGTCAATTGTAGTTGTTTATTTCAGATTCATGGGATATGATTTAAAAATTCACAAAGTCAAAACATTGTTATTCGGTATTTGCATAAAATTATCGAGCTGTGCGCGTAACTCCATCCATTAGGGTTTGTACAGACTCCTCGGATACCGTGGTGGCCAAATTTGTTCTAATTGTTGACGTTGGTTGACGAAACAAATAAATAAATAAATAAGTTTGATATCTTTGATTCCTTGTTTCTTTCTCTCAATATCTCTCGATTGTACGTAACTCTGGACAATTTGGCGGATTTGCGGTTTTTGGTACAATATTCACTTGATTTGCTTCATATCACTCCATCAAAATTTTAGCATAATGGCATGATGCCAAATCGGGCCAGAACAAAGAGTTTTCTTTGTGGCTTTTGATGAAGGGTAGCAATCGCTTCTGCAGACACTCTTTCTGGTAAATCTCCTTGTTGATTGTGCCTGTAGTGCTGAAAAATTTATTCCTTCAGCCACACGTGCAAATTGCTTGCCAAAAAATATATTTTATGGGAAATTTCGATGTCTTCTTCGTCCTGAAATACTCAGCTGTAGCACTTTTGACCATAGCAGAATAGAAAGCCAGCCCTGGAAGCTGCTTGAAATCCTCCAGGATATAAGTTTCATCTTCCATAACATGAAAACTTCTTCAAATATTTGCAGTACAAACGTCGAGCCAGTGATTTTGCTGTCAAATTATGTTTGTCGTTGCGATTTGGAACTGTTTTTTTCTTTATACGACTTCAGCCCCAAACGCTGTTTTGATTTTTGGACAAAACCAGGTGACATTCCTGTTTTACGAGCCAACGTTTGAACAGAGAGATTCGGCTTTTTTTTCAATATCCTTTTCACCTTTTGGTCCATGACAGGATCAGAATGATTTGAACACATTGTGAACAGTGGATTTAGGTAAATCCAATTTTTTTTGCAGGTTCCCGTATTGACAAGTCAGGAGTTGCATTACGTCCGTACAAAATCCTCTCGCGCACGTGTTTTTCATTCGTCGCCATCTTGAACACTAAACATGGAATGTAAACACCAGTGCGCAAAACAGTCAGGCTCAATGAGTCATTTTCATATGAATATGAACTGCCATCTGCCTCATCATTCACTGCCTCGTGAGAGTAGTCGAGTCACTGACAGCCGAACACTCAGTCAGTCATGCTATTTCAAGACTACTCAAACTTGGGTAGAATCCAACCAGATCGGTCAAAACTGAACCTACCCAAAAAATGGGTAAGCTGTGTTGGGAGTGACAAGTTGACAAATGAACAACGTCGATTGGATTAATGTCGATGTTGTTCATTTGTCAACTTGTCACTCCCAACACAGTTCACCCATTTTTAGGTGGTTCAGTTTTGACCGATCTGGGTGGATTCTACCCAAATTTGGGTAGATTTGAAATAGCGTTTAAGCACGTTATTCTTCCGTGATGGTACACAATCTTTGTTTTGAATGACTGAGCGTACATGTTCTATGGAAAAATGCCTCAATGACATGCTGTGTAACCGAAGGCAAGTGGTGTGAGTCGCTGTGTAGTGTGTAGTCTTTTTTATCGATGTATACCTGTTTATACGCTGCTATACTGCCCATAAAAGCATAACTGTCCCATATGAATAGGAAATCAAGCAAAGATGGAACAAATTATGCGAGTATCGGCAGTATACCTCAGCGAAATTTTTCACTCCTACGTGCAATATTTCAAAAGTTACAAACGGTAGTACCCCCTTAAAATCCGTTTTTACCCGAGGGGGACGACTCTATCTACCATGCAAAAAAGATTGTGTTTTGCTGTGGCTAGCTGCGCGCACGCTGAGTAGATAGAAAGAAGATTGATGACGATTCTGAAGATTTCCTGCAAAAAGATGATGAGCGATGCAAGTAGATGCAGCAAATGAAAGAAGATTTTTCGAAGATAGATTCGCTAGTGTGAGATTTGTTGAGCATCTAAACTTGAGATTCAGATGTGTCGCCCCCCTCGTTTTTACCATTACTTTTTTGTTTGAATTTTCCAATTTTTTAATGTTCTACAAAATTGTAAGTGATTTAAAAAACATATTTTACGGTAAATTTATCGTATACCAGCCAACAACAACAGCAGTTCATCCTAAAACTAAAGATTACCAAAATGTTACAATACAATAACAATAAAGTAAATGGTATCAATAATAAAATTGTTCGTAAGAAAAATATTAATGTAAAGATACCTAATCATTCACATTTATTGAAAAATCCTTATACAGTCAACTTTCGCTCGTTGGGCTAAACCTGTAGCTCACTTAGTGAAATACTTTCGTTAGTTGGGCTGAGCGTCAAGCTGAAAATTGGTTGAGGGATACACCGATTGTTTATTATCATCACAATCCTTTAGCAACTATCCAAATTGTTCATACATGAGTCCCTCAAAAAATAAATAGCACACGGCGAATGAGAACGACCCAAATTTGAGTTTAGTTCACTCATAATCGCCAAAAGTGCAGGAACGCAGCGATGAGTTAAATTTGTCTCATGGTTTCCTGTGGAAAACCTAAAAAATCTGCCGGAAAATGAGGAAATTGACGAAAATTTTATTCAGTCTCGGAGTAGTACCAATAGACTGAGTGAATCCAATCTTTACTTTTCTCAAATTCAGGAATTTTTCCCTGGAAAAACCTGGAAAAACATGAGGCAAATTTACTCATCGCTGAGTTCCTGCAGTTTTGGCGATTATGAGTGAAGTAAACTCAAATTTGGGTCGTTCTCATTCGCCGTGTACAGTCAAAAATGACGTTTGACTTCGATTTAGGTGGGCTACAGCCCAACTAACGGGAGCCCACCTAAACATAACCCAACTATAGTCGCTATATTCATAGTCTGGCGGATAGAATCTCGGGAACCAATTGAGCTGTCAAATAGCGGAACCAATCGAGCAAATCATGACCAATAACAGAAAAGTGCACATCAGCTATTGCCAACAAAACTTCGAAAACCCTTTTCTCGTGACTCAAGGCTCGCCTACGCAAACTAACACCATCTTTGGGTTGAGGAAAGTTTCCCCTATCCGACGACGCTGGTAATTTACGTTCGATTAGCGAGGAAAGAATAATCAACGTTTTGTTTATAAAAGTTCATAGTACCTTTTCAATTATTGGTCTACAATATATTGAATTTGTTCCGCTTTTTGATAAATCGAAATTCTATTCGCCAGACTATGAATATAGCGACTATAAACCCAACGACCGAAATTTGACTGTATACCATAAATTAAATGCTATGGTACAAAACAATACATTTGATCGTATTTTTATTTATGTTGACCATTAATTTTTATCGTGATAACAATTGGTTTTATTGCATAAGTTGCATTGTATCTCTATAAAAAAAATATTTTGGATTATTAACAAAAGAGAAAGTAGATAAAGAGAATCGATAAATGCTGATAGGACCATAAGAAATGTTCCTCTAGAATTACCTATTATTTTTTTACAATCTTAAAAATACTATAAATAGTTATTATTAAACGTATCATTGTGTCTAATACCGCGCACTTAGAATCACTCCTATATTAAACAAACATGATGCACCCCTCATGTATAGAACCTCTGTTTTTAACGTTATTCAGAATGTACGTTTTATTAAGCCGTTTTGCTGTTGCAATCAAACTACGGTATTAGGAACTAAAAAGTAAAAAAGTACGGCTACTAAGGCCCGAACTCTTAAACTTCGCTTAAGCTTTGAACAAGCCTAAACTATATGGATAACCCTGGTTAGCTGTAAGCGGAGGTGAAAAAATTGGCCCTAAATCCGCTAATCTATCAATTAACCAGTTGTAAAATGTGTGATTTATTTGGAAAGATAACTCGATATGCTAACGTTTGCAATAATTATTCCCCCTTATTCTGCGAGTCACGTGACTCTCTGTCACCGGTGAGGTGACAATTGTCACCTCGTGTGAGGTGACTCTCCGTGCAAATCAAATGGAGAATGGAGAATGGAGAATGGAGAATGGAGAAAAAAATCAATGCATAGGGGAAATGGATGTAAAGTCGGCCTAAATGCTCCTAATTTGGGCTCATACATAAATTCAGCAATCGACTAAATTTTCAAAAGCGACCAAAAATGTCCATTAGTACCAGGCCAGTGACAAGGCCTATACCAACAGCAGCGTTTGACAGTAGGCAGCATGTCCCGGGCTCAAATCACTTAATTTGCTGTGCTGGGCCCGCTGTCACTGTATAACATGTTGCCTACGCGCCTGCCACTGGGCTGATTAGTACCGTCCCAATGACGCGTTTATGTAGATAAATTTGATAAATAGCAGATTTTTAGCGATGGGCCCAATCTTAGATCCATAGGCCAACATTAGAACCATTTCCCCTATATACATCGCAAAATATTCTAATTTATTGCCAAACCCACGGTATTAGGTGCTGCGGGGAATTAGGGCAGGTAAAGGTACTGGTAACCACGATGGAAGGGAGTTTAAAGACTAGCACAAAGTAATTTGTTTTAATTTTTTATTTAGTTGTTGGTCACCGGAAACCTACAAAGGCAAGGTAGAAACATACATTATTTGAGTTTATGTCCATATAGACCATAAAAGGGCATACTTAAGTGACACAAGATCCTTTAGAATTCTAGATAATTATTTTAAAAGCAAACTTTAGTTATATAAATCTAAATGCACTGATACCACTGTAGGGAAATTGTGCACTTAGGAAAACCGCTGACCAGTAAATTTTAAGGGATTTGATAAAATTGAATTAAAATAAACATTTTTCTAGATCATTATCTTAATCTTCTTCAGGATCTTATTGTATTCTCCCTGGTCATCCTTTACCTGATACACAGTTTATACCAACAGGCTACCGAAACCAATAAAACAACAAATTACAAAAATAATCAACAAGGTAACCATCATCCAGACTAGTCAGCTGAAAACAAAAACAGCCATTTTCACAGCAGTTCAGGCCCCATCATATTTCGAAAACAACGCAGAAAACCACAAGGCAACAACAATTTTCCATTTTGTTGATCCATTGCTCCCACAAAGAAACGTCCCAAAATGCATTATTCTGTATGCCCACCCATTCCTGTTATTTTCCGTCCTGATCCGGAGAACCACCATCAAAGAGAAAGAGATTACTACTTTTCGGATTCTGTCTGACGTACCTTTTCGAGCAAATTTGCGATTTGGTAGGACGCCATTCTGACGGCCTGTAATCCTCTTTTCCGATAGTTTCCAACGAAAATAAAACCTCTTACACGGGCACCAGTACAACCGCTAACTTTTACACTTATTTTGGAACGGTTTTTCTCAAAGTTAGCCTGATTTTTGCACAATTTTCACTACTGCACTTGATTGATGCGATCGACGAAAACGCGATGAGATGATAAAAATTTTGCTTGCTGCGAAGTGTCGCGCACCGGTCAGTCAGTCTGCAGCACCAAACACACACCAGCAAACGGGGCGAGAAGTTTTGAAGGAGTTAGGGTTGGCAAACTGTCAAAATAACTCAAGGTCCGGTGCAAAAACGACGTGGATGATGAGTGCAATAATCTTCTTTATCGATCGAGAAAAAAGCCGAACACTGAAAACAAATCTATCTCAGAGAATGAGTTACTTTCTTACTCATTCGTAATAGAAATCCTTAGAGGAAGACGCACAGAGAACAGACGTCCAACTTCCACCAGATAAGTGGGAACGTTGCCATTACGTGGCGCTAGCATCTCCTGACCAACTGGGTTGCATAACTTCGAAAATATATATTGATTTTTACACATCATCTGATAGAGCTTCGTTTACTGAGCACAACGATATTTTTTATCGATCCCGTAGACATTCATCTCGATTTTTAAATCAAGATTTAAATTTTTCTGTGAAAAAATCACAAATATTTTTGAAAAAGTACAGGAAATCTGTGAAACTGTTTACCGAACGTTCAGTTGTTGAGATTATTTCGGTAAAATTTTACAGATTTCTGCAAAAATTTCTAAGTGTGTATGTATTTACCTCAATACCCCTAAACAACCCATTTTGGCGCTAGTATCGATAATTTTTTTAATGAAAATTACCACTCGGCACTACCGGCTATTAGTGTCTAGTGTAAGTTGTGCAACGCCAGCGCCATCATGTTGTCAAAGAGGGTTTTTAAGTGGGGAAGTCGGCGTTGGTGGCACTTGGGTCGAATAGGAATTTAAAAGTCATTTTGTTTGAGCCTCAACGTCTGTTCTCTGTGAAAGAGCTGAGCGGAGAGAATGTTTAGATCCAAATGAACTGTCAAAATCTAAGCCTATCGAATATTTCCACCAGATTTTTTTTCCGAGTGTTTCTTATTCTTACTAGATCATATTTGATAGTACTGATGTAATCCTCGCTGTAATCAAATAAAAATTCAACCCCCTTTATTTTTCATGCACTTCCCGCATAAACGCGAACCACAACTTGACCTTACCGAAAATGGTTAAAAATTGTTTATAACCTGTGCTAAACTTTAACTGAAATGATTATGGAAATTTACACTAATAAAAATTCAATGTTAATTTGTATGTGTCCCACACATGAATTTTTGCAATGTGATAAACAAATGATACATACACACTTAAGCACGACTTCGCGGTTCGGTAATTTTTTACAGTTTTCGAAATACTTGACTACCCAAGCAAAATATTCAGCTATTTTCAACTACACAGCAAAAAAAAATGTAATATCAATCAACGTAATTCAAGCTGATGTATATCATTCCTCGTTCTGCTTGCGAATGAGCAACATCAAGGCCTGTTGTCTCGTCACATGGCATAGCTTTAAAAGTGTTTTCACCGCGAAAAGTTTTTTTTTTCTGAAAGCAGTTTTTGTGCCTCAGGTGACTCGCGCATTACATAAGGAAGCAGCCGATCCTGGCGAAGCCTACGATCGGACTGTCCATCTTAAACCCGCTCGAAGATATCAAATTGATTTTATCGGAGCCATAGTCAGCAGCAAGAGCCGCGTAATACACATCGGCAAACGACAACCACACGGACGGTGTGTACGACTGGAAACAATAACCAGCAGAAAACATGTGACTGCAGTGAGCCGCCGCACGGACGGTGTGTACGACCGGCATCTATTGTGGCAGAGCAGCAACAGTATAGCAGTAGAAACGGTAAGGGCAAATAGTAGCACGTATCTGTTTTTGTATTCCCATTCCTCTGACTGTTTGCTTGTGGATCGTCTGTCTCTCCCCCAGTAGAATCGTTCCACATAGGGTGGTTCGTTAATAAAAAAAAGTAAAATAATAATTACTTTTTGACGACAATTTTTAATTTCTAATGGATGGTTCAAAGGGGGGCAGTAAGCCTCCCAATGATAAACTTAGAAAGCGCCATTATCAGGCGTCCTCTGCCTCGCCTTGGGTTGTCTATTTTCGGCAGAAAGAGAAAGCCCTTAACTTCTTAGGGATTAAAAGAATATTGACGCCTCGTTTCCCGGGGACCGAATTTCATCAGGTCAATCGGAACAAACTGCGTATAACCATAGAGGTAACTCTAAGACCACTGGGTCCCGAAGAAAATCATTATTACTTTTGGCTCACTCAGTACCAGAACAACGGTCCCAAGCTATTTCACTCACCCCTGCATGTTCTGCATGAATCCACACACCCCTGATGTTATCTGTCAAACTTTCATAGCGAATCAAAACAAACATAGTGTAGTAATAGAATTTCAACTAGAATAGGGTACGTTAATCGTTTGCTTGGGACCAATAGGCTACTAAAGTGGTGAGCCAATTTAAAATCGTTAGTTTCGTATTGATTGTTGGTATAACTGCGCCTACATATAATATCGCAAATGATATTGCTGACGACGAGGTTTATAACAAAGAGTATTACGTCTACATCCCATCTCGAGATGTGGAGAAAGACGGCGTGGTCTCTGCAGTGAGCCTGACGTGTGATGACGTCATGGAAGGTATGGGGCGCCTTCAAAATGCTGCTACATCTACCGTGGACGTTCTGGGTTGCAGGATATTGTATTCAGCGACCACGGTAGATGGTCAAAAGACTTATTCCCCTTCAGGCTCACTACCGGTGTCTTTCGCTGGATCGGTTCTCCCAAAGTTCTTAGAAATTGAAAATGTTTTTTCCCGGTGCGACTTTTTGTACCAAGGGTATATAATTGTACCAACTGCAAAAAGCTGGGACACACAGCTGCTTTTTGTGACAACAAGCCCCGTTGTGGCAAATGTAGCCAAGACCACATGGAGGGTGCTTGCCAACAGGAAGCAACTAAATGTGCTTACTGTGGCAAAGAACCTCTTCATGCTTTGCAGGACTGCCCCGCGTACAAGAAGCGTACCAACAATGTGAAGCGTTTAATAAAAGAACGCTCCAAGCTGACGTTTGCAGAAATGGTTAAGTTGCAAAATGGATCCTCTGCTTCGTTGGCATCAGCCGCTCAAAATGAAAACACTTTTGAGATTTTGTCTTCCGATGAACTGGACTCTGACATAGCAGATGAGAGTGAGTCTCCGGAGGTACACGCCCCCGGTAAAAGGAAGCCGACTAGCTCCCCGGGAGTGCGCCGGAAAAAAAAATTAAACCACTCTCAAAAGCATGCAAAAATCTGAAGGTAGCGGGGATTCATTGAAAAACCCGAACAAATCGGTAATTGCTGCTCCATCTGATCCTTGCTGCAGCTTTTCCACCCCGCCGCTACCTAATAAAGGTAATCGTAAGAGGTTACCAAAAATAAACACCACGTCTACTCGCAATTCAAAGAAAACTCTCCCGTCCAAGCGAGGAAAGATTAAATTTAAGGACATTGTGGATAATATTTTGAATGCCCTCGGCTTTCCCGACGAATCGCCACTTCGAGGGCTTATTGACCTGCTTGTTCCTATAGTCGGAAACTACTTCAAGCAATTGACTGTATCATGGCCCCTCATTGGTGAATTTATATCTTTCGATGGATAATTCGTCGAGTGAGGATCAAGATATGATCACTTTATTACAATGGAACTGTCGTAGTTTAATACCTAAATTAGACTCGTTCAAGTATTTGATTCACAATTCTGATTGTGATATATTTGCACTCTGTGAAACTTGGCTTTCTTCTGAAGATGAACTAAACTTCCACGATTTTAACATTATCCGCCTGGACCGAGATGATTCATATGGTGGCGTACTTTTGGGGATCAAAAAGTGCTACCCCTTCTATAAAATCTCAATCCCAATAATTTCAGGCATTGAAATTGTCGCTTGCCAAATAAATGTGAAGAACAAAGATCTTTGCATAGCTTCTGTATATGTCCCTCCAAGGACTTCCATTAACCGCCGTCAGCTTTGGAGTTCAGTTAATATCCTTCCATCTCCAGTTCTAATACTGGGCGATATGAACTCACACGGTACTGGTTGGGGCGAATCATACGATGACAATAGAGCGGGTATTTTCTATGATTTGTGCGACGATTTCAACTTGACTATCTTGAACACTGGTGAAGCAACACGTATAGCAAACCCTCCTGCTCGAGAGAGCCGTCTTGACATTTCTTTGTGCTCTAACTCACTATCATTAGATTGTCTGTGGAAGGTTATCAATGATCCCCATGGTAGTGATCACTTGCCAATTATTATTTCAATCAAAAGTGGTCGTCTAAAAACAGATCAGTCAATTCAAGTTCCTTTTGACCTCACGAGGAACATTGATTGGCAAAAATTTGTATCGGCGGTAACTCTTGGTATTAATTCTACCGATCCTCTACCACTACTGGAAGAGTATCGTTTCTTTACCGAGCTAATCTACAAAAGCGCATTAGAAGCTCAGAAACGACGTGTTCCAAGTGCATCCCTCAAAAGTGTGGAGATCCAATGGTTACGCCCTTTCCTAAACCTACTCCACATCGCCCACCCCTGGGAACCAAGAGCCGGTGACATCAAGGTAATGTTGTTAGCATTTTACTTTCAGTGTAAACTGATCGCTCATCGCGCATAGAACGTGTTGTATTCTTTCTCCCGATTAAATACCTTTTTACAAAGTATTCCGCGTGTGTAAAGTTATTTCCACTGTGCTTCCGAATTCCCGGTGACCCTCCCGTACCACTGACACCTGATTCTGTCCATCAAAAAGAAGACCCGCCACCTCTGGATGGGATGACAAATGCACAAAGTTGTATCTTGAGAAATCCGATGCCTTTAAAGATTATCGTAGACATGAAAGATCTGAGCTTTTTGAAAAGTATCTAAAGCTTGAAAAAAAGCTAAAAAACTTACTAAAAGCAAAGAAACGAAATTACTGGCGTACTTTTATCGAGGGACTTTCTAGAGAAACCTCGATGACAACGCTTTGGAAAAAGGCTCGCTATATGCGAAACCGCTCATCTTCCAATGAGAGTGAAGAATACTCCTCCCAATGGATATTCAACTTCGCTAAAAAGGTTTGTCCAGATTCTGTTCCAGCACAACCAACTTTACGGGATA